TAGATAGATAGATAGATAGTGGATGGGGATAGAGAGAGGGGGGTGGATGGGGATAGATTGATAAATAGATAGACAGATTATGGGCATGTTTGGTAAGTGGATGGGTAGATAAATACTGGGTGCCATAGGGGTAGCTAGCAAGCTAGTTTAGACAGACAGACAAGTCCGGTCTCCCCTAGCAGAGAGAGTGATCAGTGCCCAGGCTGCGACAGGAGCCCTGTACCTGCTGAACTGGGGGCGGATGAGGAGCTGGTACCCATCGGAGCTGCCTTGGCAAAGACACAGGCGCATGCAGAGGGTCACCCCCTGGAAAGAGGGGTCTCGGGCCTCAGCGCTCCGGCTGGGTGCGGGCTGCTTGCGGGGATTTCTCCTCCTGCAGCCCGGCTCAGGCTGGCTGGGGCCGCCGGCCCCTGGCTCCCCGCTCCGCCCCTCCTGCGCCGCTGCCCCGGCCTCTCTGGGCGGGTCGCCACTGAAGTCTATGGGGAGGGGGCAGGGGGACCTCGTCGGGGGCCCTGCCCCAGTCTCGGGGGGGCTGGCTGGCGCCGCCGCGCCGGACACCAGATGAGAGCAGTGCAGGCTGATGAGACTCAGGGTGTCCATGGGGCTGCAGGTGCCCAGGGCAGCGAGGGGGCTGGCCCCGGGCTGGGGCTGGGGCTGCGGCTGCGGCGGGGCGCTGCGCCCTGGGCGCACGGCTGGCCCCGGCGGCGGCGGACGGCTCGGCTCCTGCTGGCCCCCCGGCGCCTGGGGCAGCCGCTGGGCGGACTCCTGCAGGAAGCTCAGGGCGCTGCTGTCGGGGACCTGCAGGCAGCAGGCCATGCTGGGCAGGGGCTCCGGGCGGGGGCGCCCCGCGGGCCTGGGGGAGCAGAGCACAGGGGCGTTAGGGGGGCGGAGCACCCAGGGGCCCGCGGGAGGGGGGGCGGGGGCGCGGGGCAGCTCCCACTCACCCCCCGTGGGCAGCTTCCCCCCCTCGGGGCCTGATCCCCTCCCCCTCCCCCGGGGCAGCCCCCACTCACCCCCCGTGGGCAGCTTCCCCCCCTCGGGGCCTGATCCCCTCCCCCTCCCCCGGGGCAGCTCCCACTCACCCCCCGTGGGCACCTCCCCCTCGGGGCCTGACTCCCCTCCCCCACCCCCGGGGCAGCTCCCCACTCACCCCCCCGTGGGCAGCTTCCCCCCCCTCGGGGCCTGATCCCCTCCCCCACCCCCGGGGCAGCTCCCCACTCACCCCCCCGTGGGCAGCTTCCCCCCCCTCGGGGCCTGATCCCCTCCCCCACCC